CATGCAAAACAAAATTATTGAATCTTTACGTCAAAAAAAGACAGAAAATAAACTGGAATAAATTAAATCTAGAAAGTCTAACTCTAAAATTACACAACAAAAATATACTTATGTTTATGAGTAATAAATTGAATAAATTATATTAAAATCTGAAATTCAAAGATGAAACCACATATATATGCTTATACAAAAAATAACATCAACTTCTGAAGATAAAAACGTAATATGTAAAACCGTAAGTATGTATTTTACTTCAGATAAAGCAACTTTGATATTAGGTATCTACTTCCTATCATTTTGAATTATTTGAAATATGATTTTATAATTTTTTCTTTCTATATAGTGTTGTACAGCAGCCATTTTTATACAATAATATATATTTTTTGTACTTTTGTATGCGGCGTTCTTGTATATCTACTTCACCGTGGTATATTTTGCTAATTTCCGTGTATCTCTATATATTGTCTCTCTCTTTGTTTTGTATATTACAAAAAAACATTTAAAAAATTACTGTCTGATTATCAATTTTAACAAATTCTTACATAAAATAATAGTACATATACATATATATACGTCATATAGTGAAAAAACGTACATATATCAGTATTTATTTTGGTTTGCATGTAACATTTATCTTACAAAAATGTACTCGTAACAGAATCACTAAAAAAAGCACACACACAAACACATTATATTGAATGTAAATATGTTTTTCTATTTATTAATTTTCACTCCATTTGTCTGGAAATACAGAAATACATTTGTATATACATGAAAAGAAACTTTTGTTATGTGATGAACTTTTGTTTGAACAAATTTGTGCTGGTGTAATAATTATTTGGCACAGAAGGCGCAAGCTCCAACCTTAGTTGGATGCGGTTACTTCTCCCAGAGGCGTTTTTATAAACGTGTGCTGGTGTACTAATTATTTAATGCAGGACACTTCTGCTTTAACCTAACCTAACCTAACCTAAGTTGCATGTAGTTACTTCTCCCAGAGGCGTTTTTATAAACGTGTGCTGGTGTAATAATTATTTAGTGCAAGACACTCCTTTTTTTTTCGTGGGAGAAATCCTTTATGGATACCCTGACCCTGGAGGAGGGCAAGGGTTATGCGGGAATTTCTCTCTCTACCCGCAAGTGGAGGAGGTGTACCCGCTAAAACTCCCACGGTGTCTTCCTCGCTCTTAGTAGGAGGGGACTCGGGATTCCATTGTAAGGATGCGCGCGGGTCCCCTCCTGGAGCTGTTAGCTTCTGTGAGGAGGAAAATAATTGAGAACAAGTTCTCGTTCATGTCTCCTCCTCAAGCGTTGGTCGCTGCAACCTTTAACTTGATGCCACCACGGGACACACACCGTGATGACACTCCGTCTCTTGGGCCGTGTGCAGGACGAGCCGAGGCCCCCACCTCGACTCGTCACGGCCCCGCGGCGGCTACTAAATAAATAAGAAAACCACACAACCGTGGTGGACGGTACCACCACGGGAATATCAGCCGCCGCCCGCTTGTTCACGTGTCCTAGACGCGGCCCCGGGATCGGTGGGCTAACGAGAGGCCCGGCTCCTCTCAACGCTCAACGTCCCGCAATATACAATTGAGTTTCCCCTATTTTCCTCACAAAGGGAAAGGGGAGACTCATTGTCAGGTGGGGGGCGCGCCACGACCCCTAGGACGTACGCGGGAAGCGTGGGCCCCACCACCCGCTCGCGCACGTCTTCGAGGTCTCCCCAGATGGAGAGGTAGTCTCTCTCTTTCTTTTGGCTGCCTCCTTTTGCTCCATCACCGCGGAGCAGAAGGAGACAACCGCTTCCCACTCGTCTCTCTCCCTGGAGGCCAGCGCCCGTAACAGGCCCTCCAGGGAGAGGTCTTCTATTTTGGCAACCAGCTCTCAGCGTTCCGGAGTCCACCGTGGACACTCTTCAACGGTGTGCTCCACCGAGTCGCTGGCCGCCCCGCACGCGTGACATTGCGTCGTTGACTCCCGTCCGATGCGACACAGGTACTCACCAAAGCAGCCATGCCCGGTAAGCACCTGCGTCACACGGTAAGTGAGGCGTCCGACCCCGTTGTCCAACCACACTCGTAAGTGGGGTCGGACGACCCGGACGACTTCCTGAGCGTCCACGTCTGGCTCGCTCAGGAGCTGCTCCCAACCAAGGAGCAGTTGTCGCCGGGCTTGGCGCTCCGACCTGGCGAGGGCCTCCCGCAGAGCATCCTCTGCAAGTCCCTCCCGCTGGAGTTCGACCCGGCGAGAGTATCTCGCCGAGTACATGCCAGCAAGGAGGGCAAGGGGAGGCATCCCCGCCAGTACGCCTGCCGTCTCTCTCGCCACCGTACGGAAGCCGCATATCACGCGAAGGGCTATTACTCGTTGGGAGGCGCGGAACGATGCGAACTTACTCCGCGCTCCTGCCCTCGCAGCGGCTTCCGCCCACAACGGTGCCCCATACAGGGCCACCGAGTGGACCACGTTGGCAAAAAGACAACGAGCTTTATGCTTCGGTCCCCCAATGTACGGCTGAATACGCGCCAGGGCGTTGGCGACCTTCCGAACCCGGGGGGCCAGGCGAGCAAAGTGCTCGTCAAAGCGCCACTTCGGGTCGAGGTGAAGACCAAGGTACTTAATAGTCGTACCTACCTCGACTCGTGCCTCACCTACGGAGAGACCGAGCGCTGAGGGCCGTCCACGGAAGTGGTTGAAAAACCACATGGCTTCCGTTTTGTGGACGGCCACTTTAAGGCCCAGTCTCTTGATGCGGTCAACGACGCAATTTGTCCCAACTTCTGCAAGCAACCTGGTTTTGCTCCATTCGTCTCCAGAGGCAACTATCAAGGTGTCATCTGCGTAGCAGATGACTGATAGCCCTCTGGGGAGCGCGGCCTGGATCACCGCATTGTACCCGAGGTTCTACAGCAGCGGGCCGAGAACTGACCCCTGCGAAACCCCGCGGTACATCCTCTTTCGCTGCAGTGATCCGTACCGGCCGGTATACGTAATCTCCCTGCCACGAAAGTAGTCTCCGAGGAGCCTACTCAGATAGGGCGGGACTCTGTGACGTTCCAGAGCCCACTCTATACTGTCCCAGGAGAGAGAATTAAAGGCGTTGGAGATATCGAGAGATACTGCCAACGCCCTCCTCCCCTGCCTGGTCCCTTCCGTGAGGGACTTAAGGTGGAATACGGTGTCCACCGTTGAGCGTCCCCCGCGGAATCCGTACTGACAGTCGGCCAGGTCGGAACCCTCCCGTGACATGTGCTCGACGAGGCGGTTGGCAACAATGCGCTTCAGGAGCTTGCCCGCCTCGTCGAGTAAACAAATCGGCCGGTAGGCGGATGGCGAGTCCGCAGGCCTTCCTCCTTTGCGGAGCAAAACCAGTTTAGCTTGCTTCCAATCTGGGGGGAACCAGCTGGTCCTCAGGCAATCTGTCAGGATCTGCCTGAGGCGCTCTCCCAAGAGACCCTGTCCGAAGGTAAAGCCCAACACTTTGCCGGGCACGCCGTCGGGACCGGGAGCGGTATTCTTCTTTGTCATCCGACAGACAACCCGGCGGAATTCCTCTTCTGTGACCCCCAGTTCGTTGGACCACTCAACCGGGTGGTCCAATTCCGGCTGCTGGGAGGGCCAAGTGCTTTTCCCGCCGGGGAAGAGGGTCGAGACCACCCTCTCCAACAACTGGGGGTCCAGGCTCTCCATGACCGGCGGTCATGGGGCGTAACTTGCCCATTACCAAGCGGTATGGGCGGCCCCATGGATCCGCGTCGATCGCCTCGAGGAGCTCCTGCCACGCTCGGGACTTTGCCTTC